ACCGTCTGAGGGGTGTGCCAGAATGGGAGCAGAGGCGAAGGATGGGAGGAGGGAGGAGGGGGAGGGGGCAGCGGGAGGAGGAGGAGTGACGCGGTGCGCTGTCTCTTCAAAACGAGGACCCAACACCACACGATGGTTGGGAACTGAACGACCACGACTTAAACGAGTTTGCCAACATAATGTTCTGGTCGACCCCTTCTCAGGCCCCCCCTCCGATCTGGAGGCGGCGCTTGGCCATCTGCTTCTTGGTGAATTTCTTCGGCTTCGTCTCCTCAGCAGGTGCCTCCACTGACTCATCCTTCTCCTCCAGGATCATCTCGATGTGGCACGGGTTCGACATGTACGGCCCGATACGACCGTGGGCCCGGTACGTCTTGCGCCTGCCCTGCTGTGCGGGGTTCACCTGGATGTGCTTGACGAACAAGTTATCCGTGTCAAGATTCTTGAAGTCGGCGTTGCTCTCGGCGTTCTGGAGCAGGCCCAACAAGATCTTCGCGGACTTCACCGGCCACCGGCCCTGCGACATCTTGAACGCCTTCGCCTGGGGGGTGCGCCCGATGCAGCCGGTGTACTTCCTGAAGGGGACGCACTGCTTCTTCTCGCACACGTCCTGCAGGTACGACTGCGCGGCCTTCAGATTCATGCCCTTGATTGCCTGGGCGGCCTCGTACGTGTTCTTGTAATGGACGCGAAGGTCCACGCCCTTGGCCTTGCAGGCCTTGCTGGGATTGGCCGCCTCCCTCGAGTACTTCCCCATCGCGTCCTGACTTGTTGGCCTCTGCTCCCTTTGACCGTGCGTTCGCGCTTGATGAGCCGCGACAAGCTTGAGCCAAAATGGCTACGGCAAAAGGGGATCGGCGACGACAAGGGCGAGGAACGACTCTCATCCAGAAGGGTAGCCCGCGGTGGGGCGAGAGCGCCGTTCTGAACGACGGGGGCAATGCACCTGTCCTGAAATGTGCCCCATGCTGCAGCTGGAAAACAATTGTCGAATGACCAATAGCGGTAAGATCGAAACAAAAACAGAAAACAACGTACCAACATCAGATGGTCGAAAACAATACGCGAAAGAGTTGGGATCACGCTGGCGCAAGATTAGGGGAGAAAGGGGAGTCGTGGTCATACGGTGCAGTTGCAAAAGGGACGAAGGGGTGTGTGTGTGTGTGGAAACAAAAGAAAAAGAGGGGAGGAACCACGAGGCAGGATCCGTCCACTCCTCCTCCCTCTTCCTGCCTCTTTCCTCCTGCTCCTCCTTCTCCTCCTTCCTCTCCTGACCCTCCGCCCCCCCCTCCATCCACCTCCTCCTCCTTTTCCTCCTCCTTCTCCTCCTTCTCCTCCTCCTCCTCCTCCTCCTCCTCCCCTTTCGCCCGTTCCTCCCCTTTCGCCCGTTCCTCCCCTTCCTCCTCCTCCTGCTCCTCCTCCTCCTCCTTTTGCCCATGCTCCCTCCTTCATCCCCTCCTCCTCCTCCTCCTCCGCCCGATCCTCCCTTTGCGCGCCTCCCCTCCCACCTGCCCCACACTGGCAGCAGCGACAGGCCAGGATCTCCCCGCCACGACCCGCCCGCCCGTGCCTGCCGGGGGCCGCCCCCCTCACGCCCCCGCCCCCCGCCGACTCTTCGCGCGCACGTCCGACCGGGGAGGGGGAGGAGGAAGAGGACCCGGAGGAGGAGGGGAGAGGAGGAGGAGGGATGAGGAGGAGGAGGAGGAGGAGGAAAAGGAGGAGGGAGGAGGAGGAGGAGGAGGAGGAGGAGGAAAAGGAGGAGGAGGAGGAGGAGGAGGAGGGAGGAGGGAGAGGAGGAAGTATAACACAAATGAGGAACACGAGGAGGAGGAGGATGAAGACTAGGAGGCGGAGGGAGGAGGAGGAGGAGGAGGAAGAGGACATGGAGGAGGAGGAGGAGGAGGGAGGAGGAGGAGGGAGGAGGAGGAGGAGGAGGAGGAGGAGGAGGAGGAGGAGGAGGAGGAGGAGGAGGGCGGGGAGACGGAGGGAAAAGACGACCACGCCCCCGCGGTCTGGACTCCGGGGCGATCCACGAGAAGAGCTGCCCGCACCCACCGGGTCACGGCCCAGGGGCCCGGCCCGCGAGGCTGTGGACGTGGCTGTCTTTCCCGCCGACGACGCCCCCACGCCTCCTCGCGAATGCCTGATCGGGCGGGGGTCGTGCCCATTCACAGCCTGACGCAGTGCCGCCCCCGCAGAGATCCATCCAGCGTGCTGATTTTTTCAATGCAGGGCCCTCGGAAGACCTGGCAAGCCCCTTCCCAGGGCTGCACTTTATAATCCTGGGCCGTTCTCGGGCAGCAATGTCGCCCCAAGGCGAGGGCCCCCAGAGGCCGAAAACAGAACAAAACGCTCGCATTGCTCTTGCGCCAGTGGTTTGGCAGTCCGGCTCCCCCCTCCTCGCTCCTCGCCTCCCTCCGAGGCACAGCACTGTCGGCGGCGAACCCTGAGATCTGACGGTGCAGCTTTTTATCCGCGGCCCCCGAGGTCTCGAGACACTTCCCCGGGGGCAGATGTCCGCCCTGTGATGCCCTCTGGGTGGCCCTGCGTTGACCACCCTCGACCAGACACCCCCGGGACTCCCAGAGACGACCAAGATTACCCCAAGCGTCCTCGATCCTCGGTCCCCCCCCCTCCCCCTCGATCCTTGACTTCCAAGAGGGGATGGCGACCCTCCTGGTGGCGACCACCCCTTGGCACTGGCCGGGAGTGAGGGAGCTGGGTCAGGGGAGGAAACCTCGACCTAGAATCGGCGATACGGTGCTGCTAGACCGGTGATAAGCCCCCCTTCGCGAGCCCGAGCGGCCCAGGAATCGGCGGTACGTGGCTGGTAGATCGGCGACAGGCCCCCTCTGGCGAAGCCACACGGTCCCCGCGGCCACAGGCGGGGTGGCCTACTGGAGCCCCCAGAGATGAGTGGGCGATTGTTACCAGCCTCGAACGTATCCCTATCCCTAAGATTGACACGCCAAAAGGCGATCAATCTTAGAGAGAGCTCCACCACCGCTTTACTCTGGAAAATTGCCAACCTTTTCCTCCGGAACCCGGGGGTCGCCCCCCCCCCCCTCCGAAAATCCCCCCCCCCCCGCTGGAACCCCTCCCCCCCCCCCCCTCCCCGGCAAACCCCCCCCCCTCCCCTAACCCTCCCCCCCCCCCCTCCCGCTCGAAAACCGAGGGGGGGTCACTACCAGTTCGAACCCTCCCCCCCCCCCTCCGGATCCGGAAAACCGAGGGGGGTCACTACCGGTTCGAACCCCTCCCCCCCCCCCCCTACCCTTCGGATCCGGAAAACCGGAGGGGGTCACTACCGGTTCGAACCCCCCCCCCCCCCCCCCCCCCACTCACCGCCAGCAAACGACTCCCGGTCCCCACCACCGTCCGCATCACATCCCCCACTGGTGTTCCCAGCACCACTGTCCTCACCACCGCTGTCCCCACTGGTTCCACCACCGCCCCTACTGTCCCCACCAGTGGCCCCACCACTGTCGCACTGTCCCCGCTGTCCCCAGAACTGTTCCCACCACGGTTCCACTCTCCCCACTGTCTCCACGGCCCCAACCACTGCCCGACTATCCCCACTGTCCCCACTGTCCCACTGACTCCTCCGCTGTCCCACTGAGCTGTCCCACTGTTCCCACCACTGTCCCCACTGTCCCCACCACTGTCCCCACTGTACCTCTGTCCCATTGTCCCACCGCCGTCCTCGCCACCGCCTTCACCACTGTCCCCACCACCATTGTACCCTCCACTGTCCCACTGTTTCCACCTCATTCCCATTGTCCCCACACCACTGTCCCCACCACCACCGTCACCACCACTGTCCACTGTCCCCCCCTGTTCCCACCATTGTCCCCACCACTGTCCCCACCACTACCGTCCCCACCACTGTCCCACTGTCCCACTGTCCCCACCACTGTCCCGCTATCCCCTCACCACTGTCCCCACCAACACCGTCCCCACCACTGTCCGCACCCCCACTCGGTTTTCGAGGGGGGGGGGGGTTCGAACCGGTAGTGACCCCCCCCGGTTTTCGAGGAGGGGGGGGGGGGGGGGGGTTCGAACCGGTAGTGACCCCCCCCCCCCTTTTCATGATGAGCTGGGGGGGGGGGGGAGGGGTTCGAACCGGTAGTGACCCCCCCGGTTTTCCGGAGGGGGGGGGGAGGGGTTCGAACCGGTAGTGACCCCCCCCGGTTTTCCGCCAGCAGCGGTAGGGCACGCTCTTTCCAATCTTAGGGGTTCGCCCTCAAAAAAAAAGAGAATCCCTAAGATTGGCATCGTGATGAGGAGGTGCCCAGCGTGGGGATAGGGATATGTTCCAGGCTGGTAAGATTGGGGGCTCATGGGTTCCCCCTCCGGAGCCTAGCCCCTGGTGGTCTTCGGGCCATGCCTCGGGTCTCCGGCGACCGTTCCTGGCGATGCGGGCACCCCTGGAACTTTGTCGGCAAGGCGCAGCAGCTGGAACGCAGGCCCAACTGTGAGCACTGCTTGGAGCAAACGAGAATGTCAGAAAAACATCCCCGACCCTCGATTCCGAGAAAACCGTTACCCGGGAGCATAGCACAGGAGAGCCCAGAATCGGATCGATAAGTCGGATCAGCGGTCGAAATGAATCGGATCCACGGACATCGGCAGACCAATGGGGAGAAGTCGCATCGGCGGAAATCGGCAGGCTCGTAAGACCTCCATAGAGAAACCGAACTCCTGATCGGAATTCGAAACTGAATCAAAGCCATAATCTATAGAAACTGAATCGAATCGAGCAGACATAATCAACATGACCCCTGAGCTTGTCCCGGAGGGGGGGGAGGGGGGTGGGGAGGAGACGGAATCCGTTCCGTTGGAACAAGGAGTGACGACGGACAAACGTGTCCCCCTTTTCCAAATTTCAGAGGGGAGAGGGGGAGGAATAAGTGAAGGGCGGAAAGACGAATGGGGAGGGGGCGCAGGGTGAAGGTCCAGAAGAACACTTCGGGAGGCGCGCGGCGGGATGAGCGGCGCGCCCGCTGCCGCGCGCAGCGGGCGCTGCATTGCTCCGCGGAGGGGCGGGGGGCCAGGGGTTCGATCTGCGGGCAAGGCCCTCCCTGCGCGCGGCCGGATGATCCTAAGGAGCGCATGCGCCAGCGTCAGCGTTCGGTGGTCCCGCCTTCTCAGGAAGCTCGGAAGTCCCCCAGCCTTATGAGACGTTTTCCGAGTCTTCCTTCAAGACACAAAAAACCTATCAGCAGGCTGGAGGCCTTCTGAGAAGCCCCGCCGGCTTCTGAGAATGCTTTCTCCTTTTCATTTCCCCTCCTCGCTCGCCGCCGAGCATGGGAACAAACAACAACATGGGCATAAACGTTCGGAGGCCCGCGTGGATTTCTCGGATCGGCGCTGGAACCCCCTGGCGGCGCCTCCGGCGCCGCCCCTGACGCGCTCCGCGCGCAAGGTAGGGGGCTCCGGTCGGCGGGGCGAGAGCGAGCCTCTTCCGGTTAATAGCTAGCCCGAGGCGAACACACACACACACACACACACACACACACACACACACACACACGCACACACGCACACACACACACACGCAAACACTGGGCCCGCTTTTCCCAGCGGCGACTCCGCACCGCGTCTCGGGGGCAGCCGTGGGGTGCAACGGGGCCGAATTGGGACAGCAGCCGAAAGGGGGGAGACGAGACTACAGGGGCCCCAGAACACACAAATAAATGCACACAAATAAAAATATGTCCCATATCTTCCCATATTTTCTGGGTTTTTGTCTTCCCCCCCACTTCCCATATTTGTTCATATTTTCCTGGGCATCGACGATTCATTGTGTCTGTGTGTTTTTTCCCCTCCTGAGAGACGCGCGGACAGGGCGACGAGCGCTCACAGCGCACACTGGGCCAAAACACGTCCTGAAGCTCATTTGGCGGCGGCCCTCCGCCGCCATCCCCCCTTCCGGGTGCGCAGGAGGGGAGGGGTGCCACTAGAGGCTCGCTGGCGATGCATCGGGGAGAACATCGGGCTGTCTACCGAGCCGCATCGGTGATGCACCGGCGATTCGGCGCGATCTTCCGACCCCCGTGCTCGGGCCCTGTCTGGGATGCCCAGAGCTACAGGAAGAGGAAGGGGAAGGAGGCGATGAACGGAGCAGGACCAGGACAAAGGAGGTAATAATGAGCGAAGGAGAGGGAGGAGGAGGAGGAGGAGGAGGAGGAGGAGGAGGAGGAGGAGGAGGAGGAGGAGGAGGAGGAGGAGGAGGGAGAGGAGGAAGTATAACCGAAATGAGGAACACGAGGAGGATGATGAAGATTAGGAGGCGGAGGGAGGAGGAGGAGGAGGAGGAGGAGGAGGAGGAGAAGGCATGAACTTGAAAGGATGGGGGAAGGGAGGCTTAGGGGAAGCGGACAGCGAGGACAGAAGGGGCGGGCGGATGAGAAGCAGACGCACCTGAGGAGAAGATGTGCGGGAGAGCGCGCATCGTGGCCCGAGACAGGAGCGGGTACGAGGGGGGGGGCCGGGGAGCGTACCGGAAGGGTCACGACATCTGGGGGGGGCCTCCGTGGCCCCAGCCACGATATACCAGAGTGAAGGGGGCCGAGAGGTCATGCAGTGTCCCCAGGTGCATGGCTGACTTCTGCGGTACGGGTTGTTATTGTTGCTGGTGTTGTTCTTGTTGTTGCCGTTGGTGTTGTTGATGCTGTAGTCGTAGATGTTGTTGTTGTAGTTGTTGGTGTTGTTGTTCGTGTAGGTGTTGGTGTTGTATTGTTATTGTTGATATTGTTGGTGGTGCTGTCGATGTTGTTGTTTGTTGATTGGTTGGTTGGTTGGTTGATTGGTCGTTTGGTTGGTTGGTTGGTTGGTTGTTGTTGTTGTGGTTGTTGTTGTTGTTGTTGTTGTTTCTTGATTGTTGCGCCTTGTTTGTTGTTTGTTGATTGTTGAATGCTGCTTGTTGTCGTCGTTCCGCCCGCGACCCGGTCCGCGACCCACCCGCGACCCACCCACGACCCACCCACGATCCACCCGCGACCCGCCCGCGACCCACTCGCGACACACCCCGCGACCAACCTAGCGACCCACCCGCGACCCACCCCGCGACCCGCCCGCGACCCGCCCGCGACCCGCCCGCGACCCACCCGAGACCACCGGGTGACCCACTCGCAACTCACCCGCGACCCACCCCGCGACCCACCCGCGACTCGCCTGCGACCCACCCGCGGCCCACCCCGCGCCCGACCCTTCACTCTTATCCGCAAGTGTGGGGTGCAGGCGGGTCGCGGGATGGGTCGCGGGTGAGTCGCGGGTGAATCGAGGGATTGGTCGCGTGTGGGTCGCGTGTGGGTCGCGGGTGGGTCGTGGACCAGGTCGCGGGTCGCGGGCCAGGTCGCCGGCGGGACGACGAAAACAACAACCAACAAACAACAAACAACAATGAACAGACAAGAAACAGCAGCAACAACAACAGCAGCAGCAACAACAACAGCAACAGCAACAACAACAACAATAATGTAAAGACTCTTAGCTCTCACGAACACACATGTCTAGCATTCTGTATACCCCAACCCTCGATACCCGCTCGTTTCGTCTTCGATCGCACCCCCTTTCGTGGGGAATATCTTCCTTGTCGGCCACTGACTGACATGCCAGGAACCCTCGAGAACATATCATATCATGACACAGTATGGCATACAATAACATAACAATGCCATAACAGTATAGAGCATAAGACGACATCACAGCACGTACGAACATGGCATAACAGAGGACGACATAACACAACATAATATAACATAACCGTATGACACCTTGACAGAACATAACCGAGCATATGTTAACGCACCTTGGCATAACAGATCATGTCATGGCACAGCATCGCAGAACAGATCATGACGCGCTAACAACATAGCAACATAGCGACATCGAACACGACATACCAAAACATTACACAGCATAACAGGGCAGAACAGAACACGCGCTTGGCAGAAGATGACAGAACAGGACATAGCAATGCCATGACAAAACAGGGAGTACCAGAACAAAAACAGACAATCCCAGAGCAGAAGCTGACAGAACAGAAGACGGCATAGCAGAACATAACCGAGCATATCATATCACACCTTGACATAATATATCATATCATATCATGGCACAGCACCACAGAACATATCACAACACGACATCAGAGCACAGCGACAGATACTACCATAACAGATCATACCATGACACAGCATCTAAGAAAAGACGAGACCACAACATCAGAGGATAGCGACGACGAAGACGACAGAACACAACATGGCACACCAGAACATGACAGAACAGAACATGAGCATGACAGAACATGGCATAACATACCAATGCCATGACAGCATAGAACAGAACACGACATCACAGCACATACCATCGCAGAACATGACAGAACAGAGGACGACAGAACACAACGTAACATAACATAACCAAGCATTCCAAATCACACCTTGAGAGAACATAGCAGAGCGTAACTTAACGCACCTTGACGCAACAGATCCTGCCATGGCATAACATCACAGAACATAACATACCGCGATAACAGAGCATAGCGACATTGAACACGACAGAACAAAACATTACACAGCAGAACAGGACAAAACAGAACACGCGCTTGGCAGAATATGACAAAACAGGACATAGCAATGTCATGACAAAACAAGGCATAACAGAACAACACAGACAATCCCAGAGCAGACGCTGACAGAACAGAAGACGACAGAGCACACCATAGCAGAACAAAACCGAGCATATCACACCACACCTGGACATAACATATCATATCATGACACAGCATCACATAACATATCATAACACAACCGCAGAGCAAAGCGACAGATACTAGCGAAACATACCATAATACCCTGTACAGAGCCGAGCCGTCAACAAACATAATATCACATAACCTTCCAGAGAAGAACATGCCATACCATAACACGGCATAAACACCAAAACATAACGCAACCAAGTTTAGCACAACTTAGCCATGACACCACATAACATACAGTAGCCATGATACAACATATCATATCATTACACAGCATCACACATCAGGACATATCACGACAACAACACACAGCGAGCCAGACTAGCACATCATTCCATGATATGATATACTGAACCGAGCTGGCGATAACATCACGGAGCAACTCATAGCATTCCATAACCGGACATACCATACCATGTCATTACATACTCAATCAGACGAACACCATAAGCAAAGAGGAGTACCATTGCAGACGACGCATCTAGTGAGCAGGGACCGACCGTCCCGAAAGGCCTACCACGACATGTTCTTAGACCCCAACATGTTTTCATAGCAAAAACAACGTTCTTGGAACATAAACCCGTTGAATTAAATCAATATGGTCTCAACCAGAAATGTTATAAGAAATTGTTGCACAAACCACAACCGGTTCTTAGAACATTAGTTGGTCGGCCTATAGGCAAGCTGAGACGCTTCGCCACTGCTTGAATCTAACGTCACAGGCGTGACGACGTCACGCCAGCCCGTCGATAACAGAACAAGACATAATATAACACAACGTTACAGAACGTGACTACATGGAACACGGTTGAACCGTTCTGTGAATCCAGGAGCGGCACTTGTCGACCAATCAGGCGACCGCGCGCCATCGGAAACAAACGCTTAAGGTTTCGGTGGGGATCGCTCGAAGCAAAATAATTCGTTGTTTCTCGGCTTCAGCTGGCCGGAAACAGGCCGGCCGGCTCCATGTTTGAGACGTTGTGGGCCTCCCTGGACCGAGACAGCTATTCCCCGGACCTCTCCAGGGAAGCGTTCTGACCAACATTCCAAGGCGGATGCAGCCGTGGCGACGAATGCCTCCCAGGAGGCCCAAGGAGGCGAAAACGAGGCCAGGGTAACGGCTTCGGCACCCGGACGCCATGATTTTTGTCGACCCCCAAAAGTCTCTACCCATTCGCTGGGACTGGTTTTTCATCCTGAATTGTTTTTTGACGGTCCCGAGGTCTGGGGGGGTCTGGGTTTCCTCCTGGGAACATGAGGGCTCGGAACAAAAACACTTTGAGTCCTCGTCGGCCTCGCCCCCCCCTTCGCTCGGACGCCCCTGGCGCCCTCCCTACAGGGCCGCCGCCATGAAGCGGCGAGCCCTGCTCTTAGGTAGCCATTCATGGGAGGTCCCGCGAAACGCTTAGGCGTTTAAATACGTCCCCTGTTGGCTCCACTCCGCGCCGCCGATGGGGGGGCCTCGGTGTATCTTCGAGGAAAGCTTAGAACCCTGCTCGGAAGGCCGGGGGACCCCTGTACCTTCTGAGAAGGCCTTCTCCTTCTCACTTCCCCCCCTCGCTCGCCTCTCGCAATGACCGCCCCGCAGACATGCGACGTCCTGATGTTTCCAACACGGGGTCCCTGGAAAACCCGACCCTGTCCCCAGGACCGGCTTTTCGTCCCGAGTCGTTGTTTGACGGCCCCGGGGCCCTGCGAGGGCCCCCCGAAGCCGAAATTTGCCGAAAACCTCCCGCTCTGATTTCTGTACGGCGCAATCCTGTATGGGACGACATCGTCTGGCAGCATCGCGCCACGGTCATCAGCGACGTCATCGTCGGCAGGATCGCAAAGGCAAACATCACAAACATCGTCACGCTCCTCCGACTCACCGTCATCTTCTGTGCCAGCCATGCGTACGTAGCTCAGCTAAGAAGGCGCCAACCCTGGAAGAGCAAGACGAATCCGCACGATCCGATCGGATTACCGTTCATGACATGATTGAGATGGCACACCTCTTGATAACGCGACTCAGTACCCGAACCTGGCGCGATCACGTGTCCCTGGCCATCACTGGCCAACCGGTGAATGTCTGCCACTGGGAGATTCTCCGATCTCTGCTGTCCGACCGCGGTTGCGCCCAAGTGGCAGAGGCTGGACGTGCCTCCAAGCCTTAGCGGGCCCCAGAAACGGCAGGGCCGTTCTTTTCACCGTTTCCGAAAACAAGCCCCTTGAAAATGGAAACGGCAAAAAAACGGCGACCGGAAACAGCAACAACAACGGCTCCAGGAGTGGAACCAGAGCGGGAACCCGCAAAAGAACGGCAAAACGGAACCGGTACTAAAAAAACGGCGTCGAAACTGGCAACAAAGCGGCAAAACGGAACCGGTGATAAAAAACGGCCCTGTCGTTGCCAGGGCCCACTGAGCTCCCAGCCACGGCTCTGGCGCGAGCCTGTTCTCTCACCCCTGTCGTCGGGTAGCGTCCTCCTCCTCCTCTGCGCTCGGAGCCGCCCGCTCCCGGCCTCCCTCTTGGCCCCTTCCGGAGGCAGGGAGGGCTCGCAGACCTGGTCCCAGGCTGGTCGTCGACCAGCAGCGGATGCACCGAGCCCGTGCGCAGCACGTCTGATTGCAAACACTGAGTCACAGCCGTTCTGTTTTCAATGCGCGCGCACTTGCTCACGCTCCTGGACCTTCGCCAGCGTGACGCAACCACCCGCAGGTACTACACGAGGCTTTGATGCCTACAGCATCAAATGCCAAGGCCAAGTGCAAGCGACATGGCCACTGTAAACGTCCTAGCACGTAGCGCAAAATTGCCACTCATTTTCCTGTACTGTGGCCTGATACGAGGAGACGGGGTGAATTCAGGACGGAGGCGCAAATCGTGCAACGGCGCCTCCTGGGCCGACAGATCCAGCACCCCTCCAACTTAGGTGCCGATCGCATTCCTGCCGCCGCGCGCCGTTCCTTCGCCCGGTGTGCTTTGACGCGGGCTCGGGGCGACGCAGACGATCAGACCGGGAAGGACCTTTCCTGTCTGCGCAGGGAGCGGAGCCCACCGTGCGCGGTCAGATCAGGAAGCCCTGGGTCGTGTCGGCGAGCGCTGGCTCGGACGTCGTGTCCCATAACACGTCGGCTGTGGTGTCGGCGAGCGCCGGTCCGGACGTCGTGTCCCATGCCTCGCCGGCCGTGGTGTCGGCGAGCGCTGGTTCGGACGTCGTGTCCCAAGCCTCGCCGGCCGTGGTGTCGGCGAGAGCCGGTTCGGACGTCGTGTCCCATGCCTCGCCGGCCGTGGTGTCGGCGAGCGCCGGTTCGGACGTCGTGTCCCAAGCCTCGCCGGCCGTGGTGTCGGCGAGCGCCGGTTCGGACGTCGTGTCCCAAGCCTCGCCGGCCGTGGTGTCGGCGAGAGCCGGTTCGGACGTCGTGTCCCATGTCTCGACGGCCGTGGTGGTCGCCCCTGGCAATGACACCACGGGGTAGCTGGGCATGACCAAAATGCCACACTCGCCTGATCCGTCTTGGCCGGGCCCGCGGGCCAGCCGGAAGTAGCCGCCCTCGCCCCAGCTGAGGCCCCAAGAGTTCTGGATGAGCCAGTAGTCTTTACCATCCTCGCTGCCCCAGCCCACCACCACCACTGCGTGGTTGACCGCCGATGTGCAGTCCCCAGAGAAGATACCGCTTTGGTAGAGCTTCAGCCCCCCGGAAGCCTGGACCTGGATTCCGACGGTCACTGGCTGCTTGGCGACCGCGTCCATCAACGCCGCCTCGGAGCCACTTTCAACGTCCATGTGCCCCAGCACGGCTCCCTTGGGGATGCCCACCTCGCAGGCACGGGAACCGCACTCGAACTTCCGGGAGCGGTACGGGTAACTCTCTGCGGTGCAGAGCGGCGACAGACTGGCGTACTCGTAGGTCCCGTCGAATTCGCCGCCGTCGCACCCGGTGTTGCCAAACTCCTCCCCGGCGCAGTCCAGCAGCTGCTGCTCGCTGACGTTCACCATCTGCTCAGAGGCTATTCCCCACGCGCTGGCCAATGCGCTGGCGGACGCGAAAGTCCAGCACGCGCCGCACCTGTGAAAGCCAAGACGGCATCGATGTCACGCCGCCGCGGAGAACCCATCAGCGTTTTGCTGTGGATGCTGCACAAGGCCGCCGTCGGACAAAACCGAACTACAACCTCGCTGACGGGCTCCCGAAGGCGGCGTGTCATTAACACTGTTTGTTTAAAACCTCTCGGATGAGACTCGAGCAGACCGGAGTCGGGCAAACCACGCCACATAGCCGACGCATCGGCGATGCATCGGCGACGTCGGCGATGCCATCAGCGACGCCGGCCTGGAGACAATCGGGCTCCATTTCGAGACGCATCGGCGATGCAGCGCTGACGCGACTCGGTCCTCCGACCTCACCTCCTCGGACCCCATCTACTCGGATCCCATTTGAGGAGCGTGGATGTTTCCCCTCCCCGAGCACCCGCCCTGCTGCCGAGGGGGGTTCACCTTGCCCCTCGACCGCCAGTCCTCGTGGGCGGGAAGCACATCCATCTCACACGGCCCCTCGGGCTGGGCCCCTGGGCCGCGACCCCATAGACACGGGGCGCTTCCTCGCGGATGCCCCGCGTGGAATTCCGATCCGTGCGACCGCGCATTCACGGGATCGCGGCCCGGAATCCAGCCCGCGATGGCGCGGACCTGGATGGAGGGAAAGAACACGGGGACCATGACCAAGACTGAACGCAGAAGCGTCGTGTCGATCTCGCTCAGCGCTGATCTTGGTTAGCGTCACATCGTGGCCGTCCTCGCGCATCGGCCACAGCCCACATGGACCATGACCAAGATCGGCATCGACAAGATGCCGCCCCACAGACATGCGACGTCCTAATTTTTCCGACACGGGGTCCCTGGAAGTCCCGACCCTCTCCCCAGGACTGCTTCTCGTCCCGAGTCGTTGCGTGACGGCCCTCTGGGCCCTGCGGGGGCCCCCGGAGCCAACATTGGGCAAACACCTCCCGCCCGGGTGTTTGCACGACGCGAGCCTACGTCCGGGGCGACGCCTTGGCCGTGGCCCCCCGTGCCTCTTCCTTGCCGTCGCTCGGACGTCCATTTCCCGTGCATGTTTCGGTTTCGCGCGTGTTTTCTTTTTGCTCGATGGTCCAGGATGGTCCTCAACTGGTCCTCGCCGACAAAAAAATGCACACGTCCGAGCGATGCCAACAGTCTCCCCTCGACGGGCTGCGCTCGCGCCGCCCTGAAGGCGTCCAGGGAGGCCGCGGGCGCGGCGCCGCTGCTGCCCAGGCGGGCGGGCGAGGCCCCCGCCGCGGGGGCGCCCGGGCCGCCCCGCGGCCGCCCCGCCGCGCGGCCCCGCCGCGCGCCGGGGCGCAGGCCCAGCTGCTGCCGCGCGAACTCGGCGGGGCTCAGGTCGGCCAGGTGGTTGAGGTGCAGCCGGTGCGAGCTGGGCCTCTCGCAGGTACAGAGGGAGCGGCCAAGAGGGGGGTGTCCAAGAGGGGGGGGTGGAAATCATGACCGGCGGCATGTGCGCGGCCCAGCGGGGGGGCCAGGGACGTAATGGAACAAGAAGAGGCGCCATGAAATCTGGGGAGACATCATGGCCCACGCCATGATATCCCCCCCCCCCTAGTCATCACCCCCCCCTTTTCCGCCCCCGAATATAGAGGGAGCCCAGAGGTGCTGGCGTCGCAGGCAAAACATCGGGGCGGGAGGCTTGTCGCCAGGATCGGCCCCGAGGGGGGCCCTCGCCGGGCCCCGCGGGGCCCTCGAAAAACGGCTCGGGACGACAAGCCAGTCCTGGGGAAAGGGTCGGGACTCGTCCTGAAAAAATGTGGACCTCGCATGTCTGGAGGGCGCAGGAAGTCCTGCCTCAGAAGAAACCACCCGCGGGGAGCGCAGCCGTTGAGGGAGCGCACCCAAGGGAAACAGTCCCGGGACGGACAGCTACCCCCGTGGAAAAGGTTAACACTTCCTGGGGCCGCGGATGTATGGAACCGAACCGCTTTCCCGTTGGCGTGGATTTTGGGCCCCGCTGACTGGTATACTCCCCCACGTTCGACATGCGTGCTGTTCCCTTCCGGATTTTCGCGAGGTCCATCCCCACCTTGGGGGGCGGGCGCCATGTGGGGCTGAGATGCCATGGCCCAATGGGGGTCGGCTAGACGATGCGGAGGCCTGGCGGCGTGCTCCCCGATGACCCTCAAGCTCTCGCGGAAGTTCGACAGGCGCTCGTGCCACTCCGCCCCAGCGTACCTCTTGCCGTGCTCTCTCAGGTACTCCTCCCGCTGCACGCACGAAGAGTGGCCCCCGGAGGAGGAGGAAGCGGGGGAGGAGGAGGAGGAGGAAGCGGGGGAGGAGGAGGACGATGAGGAGGAGGAGGAGGAGGAGGAGGAGGAGGAGGAGGAGGAGGAGGAGGAGGAGGGGAGGAGGAGGAGGAGGACGGGCGGGGGGGCCACGCCCGAGAGCACAGGCCGCGGTCATCGCAGCCGCGATCAGCGATTAAGGGGGGCCCCGGAGGGCCCGCAGCAATGGTTGGGCAGGGCGAGTTGCGACCACGGCGGCTCAAAATCGGACCCTGGACCCCTCCCGGGGCCCGAACGCACCAACGTCCCGAGCTGCGCCCAGCCGTGGGGACGAAGGCCCTCCCCCGGAGGCCCACTGCCGTGGTCTCAACTAGCCCTGCTCTGGCCAGGCCAGTCTGGCGAAGGGTCCCTCCCGCGTCTGGCCCATCCTCGAACTGGGCCACCAAGGCCGCGTCTTCCACGGGGGCGCCAGCAACAGTGGCGGCCGCCGCGGCGGCCACGGCAGCCCGCACGAGCCTCACCGCCGCCGTCATGCTTGGGAAGGAGGCGGGCGCGCGTCGGGACCTTCAGCGAGGACGTTGTTGCAGCGCAGCTGAGCTGAAATGGAACACGCGAGGCGAATTGGAGGAGGGGGATGGGGGGGTGGACAGGCGGCTGCATCAGAGCCTCTTGGTAGCGTCCGAGGATGGATGGAGAGGACGAGCAGGGGAACCAAGAGAAGTAGAGAGGAGGCAGGGAGAAGGACGGGGGAAGAAGAGATGAGAGTTTTGGTGGTTGATGGAAGGGGTGGGATGACCAGGAGGAGGGGACAGAGCCTGAGGAGTCGAGGCACGTGGCGAAACATGAAGGGAGTAGAGGAGGAGGAGGCGCCGAGGGATTTGGTGATCGACGAAGGAACAAAATAGGATACTGCAAAAACGCAAGAGCAAATTATTGCTTCGAATGGTACGCGCTCACAGCTTCGAAATTTGTTTCCGACTATGGTATTATGTGTTGCGATGTCCCTTAACACGCCTCTGCTCGGCCACGAATGCCTTCTATTATATCATCGATTCTGTTCTGGTATGTTCAAATGCGGTTGGTCCGGGTCTGCTGTCGACAAGGCGGCATGGCGCCAACAAAATGTTACATCTGCCCTTGCTGCGCCATGTTGCTCCTGTGGCCAACCTAACGTCCGCTCCCTTGTTGCGCTTGATAGGGCGCCACTAATCGACCACTGCTCCTCCCGAAAGTAATCAATTGTTTATGCTCACTTATTCTCTATCAGATAATAATATGATCTGTTGTATCATGTTCCGCGCCGGCCAGCGTGACGTCGTGACTCTTGGCACGTTTGATACGTCGTTCAATCGGTCGTTGCTGTGCCTCTTTGTTCCTTGGCGCGGTCGTCGCGGTTGATAGGACGCCGTTTTCTCGATCACTGGTGCTCTTGCTCTGCTGAATCAAGATTGTTGGATGCTGGGTCATTCGAACATGATATATACCACAATGTTATGCTATTATTGCATGTGATGGTGTGGTCGACGATGTCCTGCTAGGTTGTTGCACCGCTGGAATCTGAAACATCGACTCTCGCCTTGTACTGCACATACATACAATTGAATGATGCAGTGGTATTTCCACCCATATGCAGTGTACAGCCTTATTGACAATTCTCAATGTGGCACTACACTGTTTACACCCGCGCACCTGCAATTGTGTTATATCTTGCATGTATGTCGTGCCATCTTGGTTTAGCCATCTGTTCTCACCTGCTAGGCTACATCCGCCACCGTACCTTCAGCATGTAGTGGAATGATCCAATGGTCACTCCGCCCAGACAAATTCAAGTGAGAGAGTCAAGAGCCCGGACCATCGGATTCCCAGGGGATTCTCGGGGATCGCGGTGGCTGGCCTAAGGGCGCCCCAAGACTGCCCAAGAGGGCCAAGAATCGCCGCACGATCGGTCCAAGACGCCCAAGATGGTCTCCAATAGACCGATCAAGCGCCCAAGACGTCCCAAGAGGCCTTCAAAAGCCGTCCCAAGACTGCCCAAGAGGTCCTCAAGAGGGCCCCCAGACAGCACAAGAGGGCTTCAAGCCGGCCGGAAGAGGCGCCGAGGACGGCCCGAGAGGGCCCAAACACAGCACCAAGAAGGGCGCAAGAGGGGGGAAACGAACAGAAAATCCGAGTCTTCCGCCCCAAGGGGCCCCCAAGAGGACCGAAGAGACCTCCAAGAGGCCATCAAAACACCCGAAGGGGCCCCCAAACGGCTCCCAAGGGGCCTCCAAACGGCCCCGAGGATGCCCCCGCAAGGCCCCGTGACATTCCAACGAACATCCTGGCGGCCTATGACACACTACCCAGGCACGGTGCTGGGATACGACATCATATACTTTTCGAAATAAAAGTACTACACCTCCTGCGCTGCTGTGCTGCGTGCGAATCTTTTGTATTGCGTGCTGTGGTGGAGACAGCTGTCTCTGAGATCCGTTGTAAAACATGACATGGTGAACGATGGGATAGATGGGATAGTACCATATCATATCTGTCGTAGTGGTGGCAGTCGTAGAATAATTGAATGTGTTATGCCATACGTTGTTATGTCATACTGTGTTCGGCCCAGCCCTGTCACAATCTGATGACGTCTGCTACACTGTATCGTGCTATTTGACGGCGTGTTATGAAATGTTATGTGATACCATGTCGTGTGATGTATGGTATGTCATGCTGTGGTATGTGCTGGACCACTCATCATGTTATGTTGTGTTCTGCCACGTGAGATATCCGTATTCGAGAGCAGATCATACGCCATTGCAATACAAGTCCGTCGCCGCAGTGGCAACAGGTGTATGCAAATTATTGTAAAGAGTGTCATGGTATTCGATACATGTCATATGTAACGCTCCCTTGTGTCAAGGTATGCTGTTCTGGTAGGGTGTGGTATTGTGTATGATGATGTGATATGGTGTGCTATGGTATGCCATGGTATGCTGCGTTACATCCTGTTGTGTGTCATTGTGATCTGTCAATTTCAATATGTTCAGTTAAGCAACAGGTTGTTACGATGTGTTCAAACATCGTATGCTTGCTATCATATAGATGTCCGCTGCTGCTGTGTCATTGATGACGATTCGTCACGCCTCTTTGCTCATGCGCCGTGACGCCCTGACGGCGGGACGCCTCCCCCTCAGGGTTGCCTGGTATGCGGGGTGTCGTCATTCGTCGAGGGCGCGAGGCGGGACACGCAAGGACTCCCGGGATCCTGTGGGGTCCAGCGACTGCGGTGTGCAGGGTGGGCAGGCGGGAGCCCTCCTTTGAGAATGCAGCAGCCCCGACATGTCGGGTGAGGAATCTCGGGGCTTCCTAAACGGGGGTTTAGCTAAACGGGGGCTTAGGCTTTCTCATATGCCCCCGTTTACTGTGCCCCCGTCTATGGCGCCCAGGGCTCCCCAAACGGGGGCATAGCCAAACGTGGAAATCGGCGTTCCCCGTGCCCCCGGTTGCTGTACCCCCGTCTCTGGCGCCTGAGAATCAGCCAACCCCGCTTACCAGGGGTGAAAAGGGGTGTGACAGTTGGCTGTCCCCCTCCCCCTCCCCCCCTACCCCAAGATTCAACATCCGATCCGAAGGGGGGGGCGGTTTGGTGGGGGGGCAAGCTCGTCAACCATCCTGAGGGCTTCCCGGAGCCTCCACAAAGCACCCAAGGCAGCCCAGCAGGCCCAGACAGAACGCCAAGACAGTCGAAGAGAGCGTCATGACGGCCCAGGGTAGCCCCACGACGATCCAAGATGGCTTCAAGATGGCCCACGAAGCCCCCAAGACAGCCCAAAAGCGCCTCCAGAGGATCGCCGAGAGGGCCCCAAAAGGCCAAAATCATATCATTGCCTGGGGGACAACGATTCTTGTTAGCACGTTCGCATTTTTTCTTTTTGGCAGCGATCACGACGACCCAAGTGGCACCCAAGGTCGTCCCAAGACGGCCCATGATGCCTCCAAAAAGACCCCAAGACTGCCCAAGAGAGCCCGAAGACAGCCCCAGGGGCTCCCCAAGACGGCCCAGGGCAGCCCCTGGAGAGCCCCAAGAGGGCTTCAAGACAGCCTAAAGTGGGGAATTCGAACTGACATTTCGAGCCTTTCCCGCCGAGATGGCCCCTCGAGCCCCTAGAGGCCCCCGAGGTCCCTCCAAGAGGCCCCAAGAGGCCTCCAAGCATCCCCCAAGAAGCCAACGAGTTCCCAAAAAGCCTCCCACATGCCCGCACGATTTCCCAGGATGCCCCAGAGAGGCATCCCAAGGGACCCTCAGATTCATCCAGGAGGCTCCTGACCCAAGATGTAACTTCCACGATCGTCTCAACGACTCACTCCTTGTGAGGGTCGGCGGGATAGCGTGAGCCACCTGAATGATGAGAATCGTGACACGGAGAAAGACAAGGCATACGAGGAACAGGTGCCGAGGGACTCGTGTCGTGTTGCCCCCCCGCTGGGGCTGACGAGGACCTCGAGGCGAATCCAGCGCTGGCGACGAGGTCCTCCCAGGAGGCCGAAGGAGGGGGAAAACGGACGAGGGGCCCAGACCCCTGACGTCATGATTTGTTCATACCGTCGACCCTCAGAGGGCTCGACCCCATTCCCCTGGACCGGTTCTTCATCCCGAGCCGTTCTTGTCGGCGCTCCCCAGGTCTCAGGAAGGGGCCCCCGGAAGCCAAAAAAAGCGACGGACCTCCCGTCATGGTTTTTGTCACTGCCCGAAGGGGTTTGGGGGTAGCGGCATGGGTACCGTTTTTCCTCCTTGGAGGCTCAGAAGTTGAAGGGGGGCCCTGGGACACACAAATAAATCGACGCAAATAGCAGGATTCCCTATATTTTCCTATATTTTCTGGGTTTTTGTCTTCCCCCCCACTTCCCATCTTTTCCCATATTTTCTGAGGAATCGTCGATTCATTTTGCCTGTGTGTTTTTCCCCTCCTGAGAATTCGCGGGCGGGTGCACGGACGGTGCCTCGCTGGTAGAGAACACAGCTCCGGGGCAGGGCCGGAGGAGCAGGAGCATACATAGCGCAGCGGGGGGGCGAAGGCCAAGCCGCTGGCCGCGAGAGGGGCCGAGTGCGGGGAGGAGGCCCCTGCGAGTGAGATGTGCTCATGGTGGTGATGGTGATGGTGGTGGAGGTGATGCTGGTGATGCTGCTGATGCTGCTGATGCCGCTGATGCTGGCGATGATGCTGATGCTGATTTGAATGCTGGTGCTGACGCTGAGGCTACTGATGATGAAGCTGATGTTGATGTATAATGGTGATCCTGGTGCTGATGCTCATGTTGCTGATGCTGATGATGATGCTGCTGATGATGATGATCAGCATTGTGATGAAGAGTATGCTGATGCTGCTGTTGATGGTGATGGTAATGATGGTAAGGATGGGAATGATTATAATGACGATAACAAGGATGATGATGATGATGATGATGATGATGATGATGATGATGATGATGATGATGATGATGATGTTGATGTTATTGAGGATGATGATGAGGATGATGATGACGATGATGATGAAGATGCCGATGATGATGCTGCTGATGCTGATGATGATGATGATGATGATGATGATGATGATGATGACGACGACGACGATGCTGAATCTGATGCTGACAATGCTGATGATGATGCTGCTGCTGATGGAAAAGGAAGTGGAGCACGAGGAGGAGGAGAAGGAGGAGGAGGAGGCGGAGGAGGAGGAGTGA